AACCATTTGGCTTTCCATGTTTACTTGGGAGTTGTCCTTTGATGAGCAGCGGACTCATAGTAAGTGAACCTGTACGAGTCACTGATCCTTGCTGAGGCCTATATTGGCCTGTGAAGTTGGGATGCTTCAAAGGACAAGATAAGGCCACAGCTGAGGACTTTTGGCTCCAACCTCAATTAACTAAAAGGAGGCTGTAGCTGCAGGCATCTCACTCCTGCAATAAAGGCCTTCCTGGAGTTAACATAGTTCTCCCAAATTAACATAATGTATTACCTGGTAAATTCCTGAAGGGTTCCCCAAGTCCTGCCCAGATTCCTGCATTTTTTTCAGTATTCCCCTCCTTTGTTTGATATCCTAATAAATATAGGCTGGCTAGAGAAGTTGAGGTCTTAACTCAGAGGGTCTTAACTCAGAGAATCTTAAATATCGTAAGACAGACTTTCCTGGAACCCTAAAATCATTTCAATTGTCTCATCTATTTAAGCCTTCATCGTCCACTCCTTTGGGAGATTGTGGGCCTAATCAGCTTGCAATAACTAGGGGTTCTTAACCTGATATATAGGAACAAAACCAACAGCAAGACTTTATGTGGAAGGGAGATTGTCATGGCACTGCCACAGGAGAAAAAGAAGCAACTGTCTGAATGTTTAGTAGGAGAAGAACGGTTCAGGGGCATCCACACTATGAATGTTATCATTAGAAGGAAAGATGAGGTAAAATGAAACTGTACAGTAACACTTACCATGTGTTATGGTTTGTGTCTGGGTGTCCTCCCAAATCCCCATGCGGTCATGGGGCAGGCTCTTAGAGTTTTGATTCATGGGTGTGAGTGCTACACTGCCCTGGGGTGGATAGTTTGCATATGTAAGGGAGAGAAAGAGGCTGCTTGTTGCCACTCCTCCCTTTTGCTCTTGTTGCTTTTGCTATTTTCTGCCTCTATGGACTGTTGCCCTCTGCCTTGCGCCACTCTGCCTTGGAGCCAGCCAAGCATGGACTGAAACCTCCACAGACTGTGAGCTAAATAAACCTTTCCTTCCCTAATTTTGGGGGTCAGGTATATTGTCTCAGCAACAAAAGAAAAGTAACTAAGACACCATGTGAGCACAGAATGGACAGACGGAAGATAGATAGGTGGACAGAAGGGTGGATGGTAGTAGGTAGGTAGCTAAGTAGTAGGTGGATGGATGAATAATAGATTGAAGAAAATAGAAACATAAATGGTCAGATAGACACATGATGGATGATGAATAAGTAGAAGATACATATATGGATAAAAGTTACATAAACACACAGAGATAAGAGGATGAAAAATAGATGATGGAAGATAGGTAAATAGACCACAGAGAATAGATACAGATATCAACAGAAGGTAAACAGATAATAAATAGAAGGTAGGTTGAGACATGGATAGAAGGTGATGGAAAAATGATAGGTAATAGATGAAATTTAGATAGATGATAGAAGATAGAAGACAGATAAATGGATGGATAGATGGCAAATTTGTAAAAGATGACATAGTAAAATTTAACCAAATGGGAATAGAGATATGACATTTTCTTTACGGTGCTCGTGTATCTTATGTATTATTTTATGATAAAAACAATATTGTTAAAAAGTTATACAATACAAGGGATGATTTAAAAAGACTGGGATAATTTTCTCTTTTTTGGGGGGACCTGATATCACTATGTAGTTCAAGCTGGCCATGAACTCACTATGTAGCACAGGCTGGCCTCTAACTCACTGCAATCCTCCTGCCTCAGCCTCCCAAGTGGTAGGATTACAGGCATGAGCCACCACACCTGACATGATGTAACTTTTTCACTTGCCTGGAACATTCTTTTTATCATAAGTATTTCTCAGAAATTTTAAGCATGTACATTTAAGTGCTACATATTAATTATTTGTATTAGTGCAAATTCACACTTTACATTCTTTATGGGAAGTGGGTGCATGTACACAGCACATCTTAATTCTTTTCTTCATCCCCTCCCCTCCCTGCATCTCTTGATCCTCAAAGCTTCCCATTTGAGAAAGAGCTGTCTCCCTACTTCCTATTACCTAGATTTTATTTTGCTTCTTAACTTCTGCTTTGGGTTTTTCACATAAGAGAAAGACTGGTATAATTTTTAAAACTTTTTTCTTCTAGCTCAGGGATGAACAAAATCACCACGTATTTATTCAGCAATATTAAGTAGCCACTGTGAGCCTGGCCTATAGCTGTGTAACACACAGCAGTGGGGAAACACAGATCTCTGATCTCCACACTCACGGCCGAGTGGGGGAGCCAGCAGGTGAGCGGCGGTCATAGTCAAAGGGCTGAGCACACTGCCCTGTGGAAGCTGGTGTGCCGAGCATGAGAAGCAAAGCGGGAGCTGAGGCCCAGGAGCACGAAGAGCCGTCCTGCAGGCGGCGGGCACGGCACTCGCAAAGGCCCTGGACAGGTGAGAAACAGAAGGCGGCGGTGCTGAGCTGGCTGCGGGGAGGCCGGGAGGGGCCAGGTGGAAGAGACTTCAGTCCGTGTGGGATTCCGAACAAAGGAGGAACAAGGACCACCTTGCTGTAGGGCCGGGACCAAACCATGGGGGCAACCACGGCCAGGGCTTCCCAGGTCCCCACAGCGTAGCAGGGGGTAGGAGTGAGCCTGAGTCTGCCTGAGGAACCCGTGAACCTGGGGACACTATTCAGTTCGTGGCACACCCCACTGTAACTGTAGGGAATGTTCGAGCAATTTGTGGCTGTTTTATGGTTTATATTTCATAACCCTAACATTTATTTACTTAATAAAATTATGCCCTTGTTCATGGAGGTTAGAGGCAAAAAATCACCAAAAGCATCAGCCTTAATAGTCGCATTTATTTCAGGCACTTCATTTATCCAAGGCCTTATGTAGATCACTTCTGAATTCTGCAGTCATCCGAAGGGATTCCTCTTGTGCCCTTCCCACCAGCCATCCCAGGCATGATTCCAGGGCAGGCACACTATGAGGTTGTGGTCTTTTTGCCAAATTGCCATCCAGGAATTTCCTCCTGCTTACACACTCACCAGGTGTGCCAGGGTGGGATTGCTCAGTCTCTTCCCAACAATGTCATTATTGCTCTATTTGATCCCTGCCAATATAATGAGAAAAAAGTTTTCTAATAAAGGTTGTATCGTATCTGTGTGTGTTATTGCACAGGTAAACTCACGAACAAGAAAATTAAATTAACCCAATAGGGAAACCCACAAGCACAGTGAACTTCAGCATCAATGCTATAATTCATTTGGTGCTCTCACGGGGCCTGCAAGCTGGCATGAAGGCTTTGAACATACTCACAGTTACAGGGAGCTGCAATGTGAAATCTCTTTTTGCTTGACATTTTCTCATAAACATTTCCTTCACTTGTTCTTGTGCTCCAAATTATACTCCAGAGCAGCTCTGTGGGGTGTAATAGCTGACTAAATCATATATTTCCAGGCCTCCAAGGATGCATGAGAAGGGGTGAGGAGAAAGCTCCGCCTCGGGGCCCATCTCCCCTGAGCGCTAAAGCAAGGGCAGAGAGAAAGCCACACACTCTGAGCACAAGGAAGTCAACGGTTTAGAAAAAGAAAAACAGACATCACACAGCATGGAAGACAAAAGTGGAAAACAGTATTCAGAGAGAGAGAGATCCAAGAAGCTGGTGTTTCCACAAAGCAAAAATGGTATAATTTTTTTTAAATCCAGGAGAAAGACCTATTAAAAATTTATGATCAATGAAATTTGAGGAAAAACAAGAAAAGTGTTAGAAGCCAATGCTCAAGAAAACTTTCAAAGATTTTGACATAGGAAATAGGATGGTGAAGAGTAAAAGCTGGAAGGGTTTGCAAATCAGAATGCAAAAGTTGCAGTACGGAGGGCAGAGAAAGAAAAGGAGACATTTTTTAAAAACTAGGAAAGGGAATTATCTAGTTACAGAATAAACGTCCCTTCGTGTTTAAAAAGTCCACTAGGCTCCAAGGATGCGCAAGAGGGGGTGAGGAGGAGACTGCAGTGAGCGGCACATCTGTGCCCGCTTGGTGCCTGGTGGAACGCTGCTCTGGGCGCCTGGGGAGGGGAGTTTTGGGAGATGAGCACTGCCCTGAGGCCTCTGAGACACCGATTGGTGCTCCCCAGACAAATGAGTCGCACGAAATTCTCTGAAGGCCTCAAAAGAACATTGGGCACCCGGACAGAGGGCTTCTCTGCCTCCAGGAGCAGAGGCAAAGCTCCAACTTACCATCAGGGACGGCAGGATTGCGGGCAGCTCAGGTAGGTCTAAGGCGCAGGGCCAGGCAAAGGTGTGAGAAAGCGCAGCTCAGCTGATGGTGTGGAGCGAGCCCGCCTCTGCACAGGCCAGCAGGACGCCTGCGCTCGCCCCAGCCGGCTCGGGGTGTGGGCCCAGTGCAGGCTCTAACTGGGACAGCGTGCTGTGCATAGTGCCTCTACCCCATGAGAGGCCAAAGGACAGCAGCCTTCATAAGGAGAAAGCCGGCTGGAGCGGACACTTAGGCAAATGAACTAAATGTGACTCTTCTGGGCCTTTAAACCAAAGCCCTAGGAGCCGCAATGATGCAGAGGAAAGGACTGCGCGGTTTCAGGGTCAGCAGACTCCTCCAGGGCTCCCAGTCTGCACCATGGTCTGGCCTGGATGCAGCAGGCTGTGGGAGCCCTCCATGTGGAACAAGGAGAGCGAAGGCAGAAATGACCAGTGAGAGAGGACAGGCAAGGGGAATCGCCGCAGACTCAAAACACACACGGGGCAGGTGACGTTAGACAGTGCACTGGGAAATGTGGACAAAGTGAGATAAAACACGGAAGTAATACATCTGCGCAAACTGACAAAAGAAGAAAGTCCGAACAACTATCTAATTATTTAAGAACCTGGACTCATAATTTTAAAAAGTTAAAAGAAAATCCAGGGACAGATGGTTTCATTATGAATTCTACCAAATATTCCAGAATGACACAATATAAATCTGACACAAATTCTTACACAGAATTCTCAAAGATGGAAGCATTTTATTCATTTTATGAGGCCATGATAGCAGTGATTCTAAAAACCTGAAAAAATACAAAAGAGAGAACGTTAATCTCACTTATGAATACAGGTGCAGGACTCTAAAGCCAAATATTATCAAAATCAACCTGGCCATATATAAATGGAATACTATGTCATCACGCCCATAACAGGAACAGAATTTAATAAATAAATAAAATTTATTTATCTGTTTGCTTAATAAATACAATTTCCTTCATCTTATAAAAGTTGACCGCAAAACACATATGAGCATCAGCCCGAGGCGAGCTTCGGAAGTGACACATGAGTGCTAGGTACTGTCACCTTCAACATCACACCTAAGGCTCCAGCTCTCCACATAAAGCAGGAAAGGCAAGCCGAAAGCCTGCAGAGCAGAGAGGCAGGATGAGAACTGCCTCAAGCCACAGATGATACGAGTGCGTACGAAGAGTCCAAAACAATCTATAGATAAATTATTCAAGCAAACAACTTTAGCAAAGCTCTTAAGATGATTATTTCTACATATCATCACCAAAGGCAACACGAATTTAAAACAGAAAACAGTGATAACATTATCAGGAAATAAAATTAAGGAAGTAGGGACAGATCTAGTGAAAGATGTATAAGTCCTCTACCCAGAAAGTTATAAAATGACATTTAGTGTCATTAAAGAAAACTGCTCCAAACAAAAGGGCACTGCACATCCATGGACTGGAAAATCCGAGGTGGCAAAGCTGTAATTCCTCCTAGGTATACTCTCGAGTGAATACGGCCCCATCAGCTGAGGCAGGCCTTGCTACAGATTGACTTGCTGACGCCAAAGTTATGCGATATTATGAAGCACCGGGGGCACCAAGGGCCCTCGGAAGCACAGCCCAGTGGGGCTTGCTCTGCTGAATGTCCACTCTCCGATAAAGACACAACAAATAAGACATTCACAAGGACACAGCAACTCACCAAACACACAGAAGAGATAGTGCACGCAGCTCCCACCAGAGCACCCCGGCCCGCCACAAAGGACAGAGGCGGCAGTGGAGGGAGGGTGGACCCTGACTCCGTCTGTGTTGCCCAGAAGTATGCAATCCTTCCGCCTCAATACGCAAGCATCCTATTCCCTGCAGAAAGACTGGGTGTTCTTCCTCTGGTCAGGAGCAGAGTGTGGGTGTCCTCTTGCAGCCTCTACTCCACTCTGACTTGGAGGTCTTAGCCACAAGTAGGAGGAAAAAGAAATAAAAGGCACCCAGATAAGAAAGGCAAAGGTAAAACCATCTGTCTTTGCAGGATGACATGGGCTATGGATAGAAAAGCAAATAAATGAAAGATAAAGGCTACTAGAACTAATAAAGAGGACACACAGCAGTTAGCAGGGATTAGTGAAACAACTACTGGCTTCTATATTAGAAATTAGAAAACAATTCCACATACAACGGTACCAAAAAGAAGAAACGTAGAAATAAATTTAGCACATGTGCAAGTCTTGCATGTCAAACACTAGAAACACTGTTGAAGAAGACTTGGAAAAGCGAGCCCATGTTTACGGTCCTAAAGACTTAACCTTCAGGTAGCACTATTTCCAACTGATATACAGAGTCAATGCATTTATTCCTCATCAAAATCCCCAGCTGGGTGCTGGGGAGATAGCTCAGAGGCACAGTGCCTGCCTGGCAAGCACAAGGTCCTGAGTTTGATTCCCAGTACCAAAAAAAAAATCCCCAGCTGGCTTTTTTGCAAAAATTGATAAATTTATCCTAAAATTCTTACTGTCAATGTAAAGGACAAAGAACAGTCAATGCAATCCTATAAAGGAAGAAAATAGTTGAAGGACTCACACTTCCTGACTTCAAAACTTACAACAAAGCTACAGTGATCAAAAGAGTATGGCATTTCCTGGTACTGGAGAAAAACCAAAAAAAAAAAAAAAAGAGTATGGCATTAGAATAATGATAAACATGTATGCCAATGGAATTGAATTGAGAAATTTCTTTCCTGGAGTGATTCTCAGCAGGAGTCTCAGACAGTTCAGCAGGGGAGAGTGTCATCTTTCCAACAAACCATGCTGGGGTTAGTGACAGTGCATGCACTAAAAAATGGAATTGGGCCTCTTGCTCACAGGAAGTATAAAAGTTAACTCCCAGTGAGTGAAAGACCTAAGTGCAAACGCTAAAACTCCAGAACTCTCAGAAAAACACAGAGGCATAGACTGTGATCCTAGATATGACACCAAAAGCATCAGCAACAAAAGAATAAATAAGCAAGCTGGGCTTCATCGAGATTGAAAATGCTTTTTCCTGCAAGGAAATGAAAGGATAACCTACAGTGGAAACCAGCATTTGCAAACTGCGTGTCTAATCAGTTAATGGCACATCTGAAAGGAAAAATGCAGAAAGATGATTTACATCTCCACAGAAAAAAGATCATCCAGTTTCACAGCAGGCACAGGATCTAAACAGACGTTTCCCAGAGACCATGCACAAGCACCTGAAAAGATGGAGGACACCCCAGCCCTGAAGGAAGCACAGAGCACACGGAACCAGGGACAGCTGTTGGCAGGACCTGTGGAGAGATCTGGATCCAGCAGGTGGGATGTAGAGGTGCCCTCTGGCAGTTCTCCAGAGGGTTAGACATAGCGGCTACCTGCCATCCATCAATTCCACGCGCGGGTAGATGCCGGAGTGGAATGAAACAGGTTTCCACGAAAGCACCTGCACAGGAAATTTCTCGCAGTGTTCTCCACCAGAGCTGGAGTGGAAGCCACCCGAACGTCACAGCAGACGATTGGATAAGCTAAAGGTGCTAGGTCACGCGTGGCGTGTACTCAGTCATGAAAAGGAATGAAGTTCTGAAGCTCAAGCTGGAGCGGGTATGCACCATGTGTGCACTGGAAAACGTAAGGCTGGGGAAGGCAGGAACCACACCGCAGGATTCCGTCCGGTGAGGTTCAGCATGGGCCCCGGAGGGGCTCCCCGGGATGGGGTAGCCCAGGAAGTGGGGGTGACTGCGAAGGTGTGAGGAGCTTCCCTCTGAGGCGGTGAGAATACTCTAGACAGCTCCGTGAGTTCACTAAAAGCTGCAGAACGGAGCACTTCACAGACGTGAGCTCTGTGGTCCGTGGACCGCAGCCCCGTAAAGCTATTACTTGGAAGATTACAGAGGCAGGCCCGGTGCTTGCGAAGCACGGGCATCCGTTCGGAAATGAGGGTAAGCGGTTTTCATTTCCGAGTTTCCAACGGCAGCATGGTTCCCAAAATGCGACTGGAAGTGTTTCCAGCCTGCAGAGCCCCCCGCGCCCGGCCCCCTCCGC